ACTTGAGGCTATATGTCAGTATATGCTCACTTGGAGACTGCATCTAATTTAGACCTGAAGGCAGATATACGTGAATAATACTTAAAGCAACAATACAGGATTGAAGTTACATTGGAACTAATTTACTAGTTAAAAAGGGCATCAACTCAAGACCTACAGTGTCTTCTGCACTCTTGACACAATAAGCTTTTTCTTTTCTCTCAGCAGTTGAAAATGATACTCTACAGTGACTTAAAAACAACACCATCAGAGATAAAAGCTACCGAGCCAAGGAACATTTAATTTGCTTTCTCATGGAGCCTATGAGGGTGGCTTGGCTCTTATTCTGGTCCAAATAACAAACTTGCTCCGCAGTTAAAATGTGAAAAAATGTGTGCGAATAAGAAAAGAAATGTGCCATACAATTATGAAATATAAGTCTTTACTTATATTTCTTTTTAATTTAAACTAACCAAAGAAACATCATGTACAATATGTATACTATGTACATTATGATCACAGAATTACAGAATTGCGGGGGTTGGAAAAGACCCCCTACTAACATAGGTTCTCTAGAGTAGATTGCACAGAAGGTGTCCAAGAAGCTTGTGAATATCCAGTCTCTCTGGACAGCTTGTTCCAATGTTCTGTCACCTTTACAATAAAGAAGTTTTTCTTCATGTTCAGATGGAACTTCCTTTGTTCCAATATGTGCCGATTTATTGACCCTTGTTCTGTCACTTGGCACCACCAAAAAGAGCCTGGGACCATCCCATTGACTCCTGTCCATTAGATTTTTATTAGCATTGACAAGATTCCTCCTCAGTCTTCTCCAGATTGAACATATTCAGTTCTCTCAGCTTTTCCTCATAACAGAGGTACTCCAAATCCCTTTGTGGCCCTCTGTTGGACAAAGTACTCCAGATCTGACTTCACCAGGGCAGAGTAGAGGGGAAGATCACCTCCCTCGACCTACTGGCCACACTCTTTTTAATGCACCCCAGTAAGCAATTGGCCTTCTTGGCCACAAGGGCACACTGCTGACTCATGGATAACCTATTGTCCACCTGGACACCCAGGTCCTTTTCTGCAGAGCTTCTCCCAGCAAGTCATACCCTGATCGGTACTGATTTGTGTGGTTATTCCTCCCCAAGTGTAAGATTTTTCTTTGGAGCAAGCAGGTCTCTGATCATCCTCTCATCTCTCACCATGACCTGTAGAGGTCATGGGAGAAACACGGTATTTCTTCTGAATAATTCCTGCTCACACTGTCTCTGCCCCATGTGGAAAAGAGCTAACTTGAAGATATGTTTAAATGGATAAAAACTTTTGAGGTGTTTACAGTAGAGAAGATTTGGTGACTGAGTTGCCACAACTGAAAGCATAATTTGCAGTTTTTACACTAATCTGAAAACCTTCTTGGTTCCTGCGTGAAGGAATTCACAAACTTATCATTGTGAAACAGATTCCTGTGCCTAATACTGACCTGTTCCTGTCTTGCTGTATGTCAAGAAAAAGTGCTATACCCTTAAAGGCATAATATCACTTCAAGAAAGTGCATGAACTTTATGATAAGTACTTTAAGGTCTCTTTCTCACAGATTTTCAGTGCATGTTGTACTTCATGGATCAGAAATCTTGGAAAGAATCACACAGCTCATGAATTCCACTTCCCTGAAGCAATATCCATGGAGTAGCCATTACACAACACTGGTTACACCAAGCATACCGGTAGGAAATTGAGAGTTGTATGAGCAGATGAGCAGGCCAATGATGATGACCCACACAAAAGCAAGCAAGTGCTGCCAATGCTTTAGATTTGTACTTGAAAGGAATGTTTTAAACAAAATACCTTGTCATGTACTTGTAGGCCTTATATGTACAAGCCTATGCTTTGGAATCCTACCTCATAAGACATACTTAGACAGGACTCTAATGTACATTCATGCAGTTTCTTTGCCTAAAACTGGATTGGAAGGGCACCATCATTACCAGTGAACTGTATAACACTATATATAGCTATGGAAATTTATAGGTTCAATTTTTCACTTCAATTACATAGACAAAAACAATTTCTGGCTAACACTGCCAAAAACTGCTGTAAATAACATCACACTTTTGAATGGCAAGACTCTATGGAAGATGGGAACTAACATTAATTGATAATTTGTTATAAAATATAAAAGATCTGATGTAGATTCATAATACAGTCCAAATTATTCTTTCTTATGTGAGGTACTGAGTGCAGCTTCTATCAGGCATATAGTAAGTGATAATCTTTTTCAAATGTCCACTTTTTTTTTCAAACAGCTTTTGATAACTGACTACAATTCAGCCCTCATTATATCATTAATATACTCTATTTGCATTTAAAAGAAAATCTACCTATGCTAATAAAGTTTATCTATACATCTATAAAAGGCTTTCTTATCCCCTTACCATATCTTGACTACTGACATAAAATAATGTTTTTCTCAGAATGCAAGGCTCTCAGAATATAGAGCTGTCTTCTTTCGTCTGTAAATTATACAATCTGTAAATTATCAAGTAGTTTCACAATAGTGTGTCCACCTGCTACTTCCTTCCATTCAAAAACACAATTTTCACATAAATTATTCTTCCTGTTCATAACTCCAAGCAAATTTTATCTATCAGCTCCTCACTGTTTTGAGGAAACTGTTAATGTCTATTACCAAAAAAAAGAAGTCATAGAAGAAGTTCGCCTAACAAGGAGTATCACTTTTACAAAATCATTTCCTTTGTCAAAAATACCAATGACAACTATATTTCTTACACAGACAATATAGGAGAGGCCTGGAACAGTTAAAAATAAAATTTCACCTGGCTTGTTACATTCCTTGATATATCAGGAATTTAAGAATGAAATATGCCATCACAAAACATTTTAATATTGTGCATATTTAACTTAGTACTGGATAACATTTCCATTATTATTAAAGGCTTTGCATAGTCCAAGTAATTGAGAATCCTTTGATTTCCTTTACACCAAGTCCACCTGTCTTTTCTTCAAAGCACAAAAGTACTTTGAGTAGAGCAAGGGCATCTTCTTCCACAAAGCACTTGGAACATTATAGAGTCCACAAGAAAAACTAAAAGAGACTAACAACAGTAGTCATAGTAATAACAGATTTATTGCCTTAGGAAAACACAGTTTAAAAAATCTGGTCAGACCAGTGTGCAAGGAGCTGTAAATAATGCACTGATGGCATTACATGGCCTATTGCTCGGAGACTACGGCTCCAGGAAACATCTTCTAATAATGCCATCTTACAGACTGACTTTGCAGCCTTGCTTTTCTCACTTAGGTTCTTTTATTTCACTCAGATACATAACTTTTCCTAAAAAAGTAGTAATCGCCCCTGATATGTAATTGGATTTCTTTAATTTGTTTTTTTGTTTGTTTGTTTGTTTGTTTAATCCCAAAACACAGGGGTTATAAAATTTAAAATTACTGTTTGGCAACTGTGACAAAATACCTAACACAAAGACCTCAATTTCTACAAATAATCAGAAATAAAAAATTCCACAGCCTTAGAAATTGAAAATGAATAAGCCGCGTCCATTCTTTATGACTTGTTACAGCCAAAGTACTAGCTTCACGTCACTTTTTCCTGGTATAACCATTATATATATGAGTTTGATTTAAGTAATGTATCTCAGAGGTCTAGTGAAATACATCCATATGTAATATTGTCCATAGTTACTAAACATGTGATTGATGGGGCTAGTACTATACTCCAGCTGATTTCATCATTGCCAGCCTCCATATCTAAATGCTAATAGTTTTCTAAAATGGCAGTTTTCAATATCCCAGTTTCAGCTGGGATGAAATTGTTTACTTCAGAGTTTCTGGTATGATGTTATGTTTTTGTTATTTATGATGTAATGTTGTACAGAGCCAAGGCCATTTGCAATAAGGGTCCAAGGAGCTGGGAGGAAACAGAATTAGGACAACTGACTTAAACAGGCCAAAGGGATATTCCATGCCATATGACATCATGCAGTATGAATTCTGAGGGGGATGGGGATTATCATTCTCTCTTCTACTGCTCAGGAGGTAAGGTGGGCATTGGCCAGGAGATGGTAAGAATTGCTTGCGCATCACTTGTTAAATACATTCATATATATTTATATAATATATATTTATATATATATTTATATAATTAGTCATAACTGTTATCCTTTTCATTTTCTCTATCTTAGTAAATAGTTTTGTCTCAAGCCACAAGTTCTACTTTTTTTTTCCCTTGATTCTTTTCCCTTTCCCTACAATTCTGTGATTCTGTGATTCCCACTGGGAAAGGGGAGACCGAGCAAATGACTGTGTGATGTTGAGCCACCTGCTGGGTTAAACCACAACAAAAAGAAAAGACAGAAATACCCAATATTCATAACAAAGCACTAGAAAATGAAAATGTCATACTTTTTTTAAGTTTGAAATTCAAAGGAACAGTGTCTACAACATCATGTGGGAGTAACTTCAACCTGAAATTTTTGTAGTAAACTTACCTAAATGAGTAACTACATTACAGTTTGATTTGGTACAATTTCAAGGCCTAACAAAAGTCTTTCTTTTGCTTCTATCTAAAATCTGGCACACCAGTAGGCTAGATGTTATTTTAGATTAATTAAAGGCAAAGCAGCCACACCTATGAGTCATAGTCTTTCTATATCACATTTTATTTACTCACAGAGCTTAAGAGAAAACCCTTATATTTTCTTCACCTTATTAATCATGTTCACTGTAATGAGTTCACACAAAAAATTATAAACCCTCAAACTTATATTTTCTTCACCTTATTAATCATGTTCACTGTAATGAGTTCACACAAAAAACTAATATCTAGGTAGCACATAATACTTCTAAAATTCTGCCAGACCCAGCATACTGAAAATATACTTAGAAGGAACAATGGTAAAACAAACTTACTAATCTCCAAGGTAACAACAGCAGATAATGCAGAAAGGATAACAGTATTTGAACATAAGTATTGCACTTACCGAGTGGCTGCCCTGCGATGATCCTGGCATTCTCTCCTGCCACTGCAGCCCTGGCATGTCTCTCACTCATGTACTGTACAAATGCATAACCTTTATGCACAGAGCAGCCAACTATTTTCCCATACTTTGCAAAGATTGCTTCGATGTCACCTTTTTTGACAATGGCTGTGTTCAGATTGCCGATGAAGACTCTAGAGTTGATGGACTTTGGGTCATTCTTATTGGTGACATTGCTGGTCTGTGTTTTGCCGGTCATGGCTGGATCACTTGGCTTTAAACCTTAAAGAGAGAACAAAGAGAATTATGTTTCATAACATATAGTTACTCCTGGTTTGTTGATTTTTCCAGAAATAATTTACTTTTTCATTTTTCACTTAAGGTGCATCTAGACTCAGAAGAGTCATATATTCTAAAAAATGATTATCAACAAACCCTAAGCAGTACATATTTGATAGTAAGCCAAATTATAACTTCTCATCTTACAGATATAATATATACCAATAAATTTCTTAACTTAAAGCTCTGATAGTGGAGCTCTACTTAATCATATGTGGATTTGTGCTTGGAAATTCAATATTGACTTTTTAAGTATCTAGAAATAGCAAAGCAAGTGAATGAGTCATAATCTTACATCAAATAAATTAACATCCAAAGCCACGTGCAAAAGCAAACTTAAACAATGAATGATTACTCTGCTTTTGCTTGGTAAGTGTGAGCCAGACCACATTTCTCACCAGTTTCCATCATTGACTATTGTAAGAAGTGTAGGACAAGTAACATACAGTTCTTTACTGCAATTAATAAGTTTCTATCAAAACAATTTTCTCTATTAATACAATGCAAAAAAAAAAAAAAAAAAAAAAAAAAAAAAAAAAAAAGGAAAAGGAAAAAAAAGAAAAGGAAAAGGAAAAGGAAAAGGAAATGAAAAGGAAAAGAAAAGAAAAAAGAAAAAAAGAAAAAGAAAAAGAAAAAGAAAAAGAAAAAGAAAAAGAAAAAGAAAAAGAAAAAGAAAAAGAAAAAAGGAAAAAAGAAAAAGAAAAAGAAAAAGAAAAAGAAAAAGAAAAAGAAAAAGAAAAAAGAAAAAAGAAAAAGAAAAAGAAAAAAGAAAAAGAAAAAGAAAAAAAGGGTAAGCACAATCGGTTTAGACTCCTGAAATAAAATAAAATAAAATAAATAATAATTAAAAAAAAGAAAACAAACTTCCTCAATTACATGAACACAGTTTTGGTTGCTGTTTTACTTTTCTTCCTGGGGTAACAAAACCATCTGAATCCTAACATTTCCCTAATGGAAACAGCCACATTATCCTTGGGGATTTCTTTCAAAATAAGAAAGAACACTTTCTGTGTTCATCTTGCCTCACTCTTTTGAAGTGCATTTGATTTTGTTAGTATGTATGTAAATTCCACTTGCCAGTAGGTCGTTCCATTTACATTGATTTACTTAGAAGTGAAATGAAAGATATTACCCCATGCTCTGCTGGGTTTTCTGTAGTTAAATTTGGTAACAGACATGTCAAAAATATGCACACCTTGTAAGAGTGAAAACTTCTTTTGTTAGAAGAAGATCATTTAAACAGAAGTTTAGACCAGCTCTAACAGCTAAGATTTATGTTACTATTTTTTAATCTGTTCTTACTTTTGATCATATCACAGTAACAGTTCAGGCAAGAAGAGCGTCCTGTTAAATACTGCTCAGACTTAAAACTCGGTTCTTTTCTCAAGATGAAAAGGAAAAATGAACTCTATCTGGACACCCAAAGCTTGACATTAACCAGCAGAAATTTCATATTTAAAATCAATAGCTGCCATACGTTAAGCCAGACTGAAGGAAAAAGAAACCACTGTTACTGAACTCCACACAATTTCTAGTGAACAAACCATCTGTAGCCGTAGCTATCAGTACTTCAATTGTCTCCATCACACATGATTGAAACCCCACCCTTCTGGATAAGAACACACTATGGATATACATGAGCAATTCTCAAGAGTTCTAGAAAAGGCTTTTTGAAAGGAGAACATGCAACAGAGACTATTAGTCAAATAGCATTTATTTTCTTAAACTATTAATGCAATATCTTTATATTAGAACATTCACAGAAAACAATGTATAACCAAAATAAGTTTCCTTGTAAATTTAACAATTTTAAAATACATTCTGGAAACACAAGATACTGCATAATGCACAAACTTCAACACAGAAAACCAGGAAAACTTCCTTGACCAAAAAACCCTGAGCTTTATTGTGCAGGTCACTCCCAAAGTTACTCATGGAAATGACAATAAATACAAAGATACAGCTAATTCTCAGCTACAAAATAGTATTTTTTGACACCATTAGCTATGCATTTTTACCAGTGATGAACAAGAGCCTGTAAAAGTCACAGAGGTGGTGACCACTGATGACACAATTAAAACATATCACCCACTGCCTCACTGTGCTCATATCCACTGTTTGGTCTCCATAAATGTTCAAAATTGTTTAAACAACGTTCAAAGATAAAAACTGCAGCAGTCAAGTATCAGGGATTCCTTTTTCACCAGCTATTCCCTGACGTTGCCAAAAAACACACCACTTTGTCATGCACTTACCAAGTCTTTTGGGAAAATCTTTTATGGGGTAGCACTGCGTATGTTTATGAATATCTAGTAAATAAAGTTGCTATCAGTGTATTCTTCATAACTATGTTATTGTTCTCCATTCACATTTATCAAGTCATGGAGACAATGTTTAGCTTCAGGTCTTGAAAACAGTACACTCGGCTTATAGATCTTTCTCCTCTATCAACCTGCCAGATGACACTCAGTGAATGACTATTTTGTACTTCTCTTGACACTTTTCAGAATTCAAACTTGAATTTTTGGCTAAGAGCTGTCTTTCCACATATTTCTAATGCTTCATATTTCTAAAGCTTCTAATGCAAAGATGTCATGATCTCAGCTGAGATTTCTGGGCACAACTAACACAATAATAATAAAAACGACAAGGGAAAAAATCTTAAGAAAATCCTCTGCCATACAGAAAATTGCATAGAAATTATATACAAAGAATCTATTCATAATTATTGCCATCACAACTGTTTTTAAAACACCAGAGAACTACACTCTTTCTTTCCTCTATTGTTTCACCATTTTAAATAGGACTCACTAAACTATTCATTTTTATTTCCTAAAAATTCTCATTTTATTTTGCCTGCTTTTGCTGTTCACTAATTTAAATTGACTTTGAATAGTATGTTGAACAATCCTATAGCAGTTTCTCTTTGCAATGCAAATTCACAACACTTTTTCAACAAAAAGGAAAATAGTTTTCTGGTGGGTTCTCTTATATGCAAATGAAAAGTCAGGAAATGTACTGCAAAAATTCCAAGGGTAAGAATACTATGGGTGAGAATAGTATTATCATGTGAATAATTTAGATCTGATTGCATTGCTTGGCTACATATAATACTATTGTGAATATTTTATAAAAATCAAAGATACATATGATCTTCATAGCAATGAGAAAGAACAATGCAAGTTTTACCCACACAGTCTACCTTTGATTAACCCAAACAGATGGAAGTCAAAGGTTGTCAAATCTGGACTGTATTGTGGGTATGGTGAGACTGTCCAGCCAAGACTGGCAATGTGCTCCACCATCTCCAAACTGGTATGAGGCCTGGTGTTACTGTGTTGCAAGAAAAAGGTTGGCTTCTTCTCTGGCCTGAGGCTGGAAGTGGGAGCCTTCAGCTCAGTCAGTGTCACGATGTAGCAGCCAGAGTTGATGGTTAGTTCCAGGAAGGAACATAGGAATCACCCCCTTCCTCATCCAAAAGACAGTGACATCACTTTACCTACTGTGTCTAGAACTTTTTCTTTTATGGGGAATTCAGACATCTCCACTCCATGGACTCCCATTTTGACTCCTACTCACAGCAGTGACCCCACAGCTTGTCATCAGTAATGATGCACTCCAGGAAACTGCCACCTTCAGCATTTTATTGGTTCAATCAGTTCTGACAAACCTGTATAAGACTCTCTTCATTTTGTGGTGTGACAGCTGTGCATGCCTATTCAAAACACTGCCTGTCTTCCATGTTGCTGTTGCCAATGCTGAAAGGCACCACTCACCGACTCACTGCTCACATCCGCTGTTTCATCTCCAAAAATGTTTAGGCAAGCATTAATGAACGATAGTGGGTGCCATTTTTTCTTCAAGAAGGAATTCAATGATGCACCTTTGCTTCATATGCACTCCCATGTCAGATGCCGTTTTGTCAGATTGACCCTCTGCTGCCATCTGTTGCACAACAATGAAATTTAATGGAATACTGTAGGGAAGATAGACGGTTGGACTAGGTGATCTTAGAGGTCTTTTCTTGGTGATTCTGTAAGATTCAACCTCTGCTGTCATACCACCATCTATTTATGTTACTTTACACATACAGAGTTTTAATACTATGGTTCTGTGTACTTACTACACTTACAAAAAATGAAACATTCTGTCCCATCAATCACAAACTCAGTTTGAGATGATTCAGCTGTGTCAAAAAATATTTACTATTCTGAATTAGATCTCTGTGATGACCTAGAAACCTAAAATGATGATTTCTTATATGGAGAACTATTCTTAACTGCAAAATTATTGTCACTGGCAATTTATTCTAAGCATCACTAAATGCCAGATCTTAATCATCATTACTTTCAATATTGAAGTTTGCACAGTAAAATGCAATACAAATAGTATACATCTATTAAACACAAATCCTTCCAAGACAGAGGGGAAAATACATATGAAGACAACTGGTTGTCCAGTGGTAGCTGTCTTAACAAGGTATTCATAGTAAAAATTACAACCTGTAAGATTAATTGTTCAGATGTTTAGGATTTCATCTGTAGAAGGCCATTCAGGTAAATGATAAACATCACGATATCAGTCCTTAAATATGAAATGTAGCATTATAGCAGTGCACAGTCTCTGACCTAAAATTCACAAGGTACTCTCAGGCAATTTCAAGGAATTTATCTCTGCCTTTATACTTAGTTAATAATAGATCTTTTGTAAATGTCAAGATTTAATCCTTGCTTTAATAGCTGAACTTCAAATATTTAAGGTTTAAGAATCAATAAATATTAACATGTTTATCAAGAAAAAAAATGCAAAGCCACAATACATTTTCTCTCCTTTGCTTTCTTGCAGCACTATCTTGCATTGGTACTGATATTTTGTGGAGCAAATTCAATATTAATCTTGATTTTCATAATAAGCACTCATTAAAAACTGCTTTATCTCAGCTA